TATATCAATAACAACATCAAGGCCAACAATAAAAATTCTGTAAATGTATCAAAAGTAGGAAACCAGTTAAGCAGGATGTTGGCTGACAATGGAGTTAAAGGAATGTTAAAGAAAGATAAGGAGACTTTAGAGAAGTTGAATAATTATTTTTCTGCCTTCACTGCAAAAGTTATAGAACCTGTGCCCTTACTGAGGAATTAAGACAAATAGTGGTGGCAAAAGAAGTAGTTCTGATTAATTGAAAGTCAAGACACCACTGAGCCCAGATGGCATCCATCCTAGAGTTCTTGAAGAACTCAAAGATGAAATAGCTGGTCTCAGAACAAAAATATTTAACATGTCCCCAATATTAGCAGTATAACAGTGTGACACCATTTTTAAAAAGGGATCCAGGACAGATCCAGAAAATTACAGGCCAGTTAGCATAAAATCTGTTACAAGCAAATTGGTTGACAGAGTTATTAAAGATAAAATTAGTAAGCATTCAGGAGGACAAGACCTGCTGAACAAGTATCAGTGTAGCTTTTGCAAAGCTAAGTCCTGTCCCATTGATCTTTTGGAATTCTTTGGGATTGCAAGCAGAAGTGATCTGGTAGATAATGTTTACTTGAACCTCCAACAGGCTTTTGACAAGAGACTTCTGAGTAAACTTAGCATTCATGGATTAAGAGGAGAGGGCCTTTTATGGATCACTAACAAAAACAGAGTAGGAATAAATGATAAATTCTCTTGAAGGAGAGGGGTAAAAATAGTGGTTTCCTACAAAGATCTGTATTGGGATGCTCTTTAACTTACCCATAAATTTCTTGAATTAGGACTGGGCAATGAAGTGGTCAAACTTGTTGATAATTTAGGGAGGTTAAAACAAAAATAGATTGAGAGGAACTCCAAAAGGAACTCTCTCCAAACAGGGAGAATAGGCATTTTAATGACAAATGTAGTTCAGTGGAAGCAAGTTTGAAGTGATGCACCATTGGGACAGAAAATCCTAACTTCAGGTGTAAACTGATGACATCTGAGCTAGTGGTGACTGATCAGCTTGATGAAAGTGGCAACCCAGTGTGTGGCAGTTGTGAAAAAGGACATATCCGTGCTGGGTATAATTAAGAAAGGAGTTGAAAGTGAAACTGCCTAGATCATACTCCACTTACAAAAATGTTTGGTGTAACAACACTTAGAGAACTGTGTACAGTTCTGGGCACTACATCTAAAAAAGAATTTTGTAGAGTTGGAGAAAGTGAGGAAAATACAACAAAATATATCAAGGTGCTAGAGCAGCTCCTCTACAAGGAGAGATTACATCAGAATCGTTTAGCTTAGGAAAAGGGGAATTGGGGAAGACAGGATAGAGGTGTACAGCATAAAGCACGGCATATTTTCCTCTCACTCAGAACACTAGAACCCAGGGTTATCTCATGAAGCAGATGGTTGAGAGATTCAAGAATGGTGAAAGGAAATACTCCTTCACACACCACATAGTTAAACTATGGAATTCACTACTAGAAGATGAGGTGATGGCTACCATTCTGCTTTAAAAGGTGATTGGACAAATTCAGGTGGATAAAGCTATCAGGGGATCCTAGTTCCCATGGCTGTATGCTACCTCCAGCCAAAGGTGCACTCATGCCCTATGTGAGGGATCCTTTGGGTCTTTGGCTGGCCGATGTGCAATCATAATGCTAGACTAAATGAATCCCAAAGCAGGGCTTTATGTTCTTACATGCTTAGGTGTTAAACTAAGATCCAAATAGAGCCAGATGGCTTCAGCCTTTTATAATAGTTTTTTGTTTAGAAATGAATTCTAAATTAATATAATGGGTTGGATCCTGTTACTATTTATTTTTGCTGCCTGAAACCCTTAGTTACATGATTTCATTTTTTGTTCTTTGCCTCAGTATCTACAGTAATTTTCTGCATCAAAAATTCTTACTGTCCAAATATTCAGAGGTCTGGATAGTATTGCTTCTCCTACAAAGGAATTACTCTCTTCATTTACCTTCCAAAAACCCTATATTGTTGAAGAATCTAAATATTTGAATGCATTATTTTTCTTAAGTTAGTTATTAATACAGTCTATGTTTGAATGAACTAATGCAATGAAGTAGAAGTTATATGATGTCTAACAATAATATAGTATATTTTTGAAATGTCATCTGGATGTCAATAGCATGAGTTTATCATCTAAACTTACACCAAAAGGAAATTATCACACCCTGGAACCACACAGATGTCTGATATATAAATGAAAGCAGAGGCAGAGTCAATGATTCTGTCCTCAGAAAAAAGGGTGATAGAACAATATTTTCTCAACTGTTAGTAATAGGCTGTTGCATATTCCCCAGAGAGGCTTTCCCATAATAAATGATAGATGGTGTGGTTTGGAGCACTTGTAAAAATACAGGCATGTGGAGATAGCCCGTTCAGTTTAAGTGCAAATACATCAGCCTTTTCCAAAATCACTGAAGTTAATGAGAAGGTAAAGTAATTGAAAGTATCAAGCTAGAACGAAAAACTGTCATTAAGTTTCATGGAATTCCAAGTCTGAAGTGAACTTCGTTTTTACAAATCTGGAAACACATCAGTCCATCCCATTACAGAAGGGGTGATTCATATTCGAGACTCATATTCTTTCTTATTCTCACTCATATCAGTTCTTTACTGGGCACAGAAGGGTAACTTGTACGGTCACTGAAACTGCACTGGCCTGTTGGGCAGGAAGATAATATGGAGGACTTGGACAAAAGCTTTGTGACCTGAAACAAATACAGTGCTGAGTAACAGAATAGGTGAGAACCATAATTTCTAGCCCACTGAAACATTTTTGTAAATCTGGAGAGATACAGATTTACAGGAGGGGGAGAATAGGTAGGGAGAGTTGCACAGCTGTAAAAAAATCAAATCTCTGCCCTGGGCCACAGATGAAATGGGGTAGACAGGAGCAGAAATCTTTGTTCCCTATTTATCTCCCATCTCTCACATTTCTCAGCAATACAAATCATCTCATGAAAATGCCATGAAAATTAACAGGCGTAGAGAACACTTTATACAGAGGATGACCTCATGGAAAATAATGAGCCTTGAATGGATAGGGCTCAGGCATATATTCAGGCTGCAGTCAAGCATGTATGCAAACAGAATTCAGCTCACTTTTTGCCACTGCATGGGGAACTCAGCATCTCATTCAAGGTATTCAAATAACATACATATTTGTCCATAAGGAATGTTGATTTCCTCACAGGGTCAGACCCTTCCCTCATGCCTGCCTTTGTTGCTTTTTAAAGTGCCAGTTTAAACAATCATGCAGTCCCTGAAATAATTGTATTTATCTGTATTATAATCTAGAAAATCTCTCCAATTTTGGGGTGTGGGTGTTTACAGTCAATTTTTCTTGTTTTTAAATCTAAATGTATTCATATGTCTGCATGCATATTAATCCTAAAGCCCCCTACATAATAATTTCCTCTTTTTTAATGTTCAGAATTGAAGGGAATTGAAGGGAATAGCTTTTTGTGGTCAAAAGGTTTGGTCCATGTTGGGGACTGTTAGGAAATAAAGCAAAAATAAAATTGACATCACAATTTTTAATAAAACCCCATGATGAATGTATATTTGGAATACATCTCTGGAATACAGTTGTATGTACAGTGCTGGTGACTACTACTCAAAAAGAATATTGTAGCACTGGAAATGAAATTGAGCTGATCAGGGGGCTGGAGCGACTCCTGTGTGAGGAACAATTCCCCTGTTTGAGGCTTTTTTGCTTGGAAGAAGGGGCAAGTCAGGGGATGGAATCCAATAGAGGTGTTTAGAAGTACCATCTGAAGAAAGTGGATATGGGAGTCTCTCAGTTTCACATAATATTAGAGCCTGGGATATCTCATGAAGCTAAATATTGAAAGACTCAAGACAGCACACAGTTAAAGTTTAGCATTACTAGCAGAAAATGTATTTATTACTAATTACATTTCTATCCTGCCTTTCTTCTTTAAGAAGGCTTATATAATCCTCCTCACCAAAGTATCAGCCACCACCACCACCTGACCCATGAGGGTAGGTTAGTCTGAAAGTGACTGGCCAACATCACCAGTGAGCTTCATAGCTGAGCAGGGACTAGAACCCGGATCTCCCAGGTGTCCACTCCAACCCTCCAACCACTGTACTACACTGTCTATCAAATATAATGATAGATGCCAATGTAGATAGCTTTAAAGGGGGATTAGACAAATCCATGGGTGATAAGGCTAGCAGTGGTTACAGAACCCTGTTTGCTATGGTTACCTCCAGCATTAGAGGCAGTATGTCTCTGAATACTAGCTGCTGGGGAACACGAGCAGGAAATTGCTGCTGTACTAAAGGCTTCCCACAGACATTGGGTTGGCTAAGTAGGGAGCTGACTGAGTAGGACATTCTTAAAATAACACCTTCCATGCACGGGAAAGAAGTATCATGAAGTTCAGGAAAGCCCAGTGGCTTGCTAAAGTACAAAAGATTTGTTAGAAAAAAGACCCAAGTGGGGGCACTTCTCTCCCCAAAATAATCCCCATCAAAGAAGATTGGAGTGCTTGGTCACCATCGAATACTGGGGATGGGACATGAAAGCCAGGCAGGAGTGGATTGGAGGTGGCCATGGCTCACCAACTGAAACACTGCACAGGAGCAATCCACACTGCAAGATTTTATTGCAGGTACCACTTGTCTTTTATAACAGCAATGTTAGTGTCAGTTGAACAATAAAGTAATACCAATAAAATGTGTGTGTGTTTGTGAAAAAGACAGCCCCTTTTCACTGCCTGGAGATGGGTCATTATCAAGTAACCACTGGGGTTATGGACATCTTTTCAGACAAACCGAGAAAGGTTCTTATGGCAGAGAGAAGGAAAAGAAAGAAGAAGCATAGCCTGTCATGTCTGTGCTAAACAAAGGACAGGCAATGAGTTTACACTTTTCAGGGATGAGGATGTTCCCTTTTTTAAATTAGTGGTTTTCTTTTTCTCTTTCAGGTATGTACACTGGTTCTAGCACTAACCACAGCGGACCATCTCCTGATCTCCTGTTAACACCTCATGATGTGTCTTCAAGGCAGCATATGCTTGAGTCGACCCTTGCCAGTACACACCATCATGTATCTCATATAGAAAGCGCCAGAGAAGGGTATGTATTAAAGAAGGATATTACTTTGGGATGTGTATTTAATGCAGTATTTCTCAGACACTAGGTCTCCTCAATCCAGCAATAGTCATATGTTCCACATATGAATGAGCATGCAGAGATCTTCGCATACAGTCATATGCATAAATACAGTTGCTGCATGTAAAAATCTGTGGACTGGAAAAGTAATCCCCACTTGCATTAGAAAAAAAAAAAACAGGGTTGTCTTCCTCTGCTCCTAAAGTTATACATAGGAAAATGTAAGAATAAAGTAGCAATTATTTTTTTAATTCCCTCTCCAAATCACATTGGAGGGGAGGGTGCAGTCATGGGCTTGCCATGCGCAAGACCTTCTCTGAAGGCCTTCTATGGGAAACAATCTGCCCAGTGCTTGGATGGAGAGAGGAGGAAGTACCACTTGCCTTGGTGTCTCTGGAAATTTGTATTTCTCCTTTCCAGGTGTCCCATATCCCTCCAAGGCAGGTTTTGCCATCCATTTGAGAATCGCTGACTTGATGCCTAGGCATGTAGCTGTTCAGCAGTGACAAACATATGAATGCATCTCTTGTTACTTTTAAACATAAGTATTTACACACGCATGCACACATTGCGAGAGAGAGAGGGAGGGAGGGAGGGAGAGGGGGAGAGAGAGGGATTTTAAATACTATTTCTGAGAACTAGAGCACTTTAGTGTAGTAAAATTGGCTTACCAGCTTGGATAAAATAAATTCTAAGACAATCTATAGGTGGCTGTGCTTTACCCAAAAGTATAATTAAGGGGATGGTTAAGAATCTAAATTCTAACGATGACCAGACCTTTAGGGTGAAGAACCAAAATAATTTTTACAGTCCTGGGACTCTCCTGTCTAGTATCTACCAATCCATTTCAGGGAAATTTTGTTTGCAGAGTATAAATAAAACTCTATTTAGAGAAAATAAAAGTTCTGATTCTATTGGTTGTAGAAATTTTATAAGAGTTTCATGGATCAGCTAGTATTTGCCCTTTCCTTTATGATACTTTGTCTAGATTAGATACAGTAGTGCAGATCCTTGGTTTGCTGAGGAAATAAATATTCGAAGTCACCTTCTAAAACCACGATTAAAGCAAAGCTGCTTTCCCTGGGATTGCTCCAGTATTTCCCAGTTACCCTTTGTCTCAAGCAAGGCTGCCCAAAAGACCAAGGTTAAAACCTCTGCACCTTTGTAGAACACTAAATCCATAGATTTCCTGAACAGAAAAAGAGCTTTGTCAGAGATATTGCCTGCTGGAGAGCAGGGGACAATTCAGACCTGGTTGCTTAATTCTGATTACTGCTTTTTCAGTAAGCAATTTGTGAAGTTTGTTTAATGAAAGGTGAAGTTGCAGAAAACAATGCTATTGCTCAGACTGTTGTCAGTATTATCCATCTATATCTATTTTTATCTAAATAGGTTTCAAGATTATGCTTTACAAATTAAAGAATCTGTATATAGTCTTTGTGGAATGAATTGTAATACATTATTTATTAAATATTTTATTACATGATAAAATTCTTAGATAGCAAAACAAAGGGAAAAAAGCTTACTTCATATGTGGGAAGAAATGAAAAAAGCTATTTCTGACATATAAGCAGAGGAAGATTATAATCCTAAAAGAGTAAGATTCTTCCTCTTCACAATGTCTAGAATAAAAACTGTGGGTGTGCATCTTTTCTTTTTTCCTTGACTTGCTTCTTAAATCTTTCATTGGTGTCGCTTCCCCCCTAACTATTCCTATCAATAGCTCTGCATAACACTCCTATGTAAGAATAAAAAGTGTTCAGATCCTGTTTGGCTACACATTTTATTTATGATTTATTCAGTCCCATTGAAGCAGTTCCCATTGTATGGAGTGAAATAAGCTGGTTGGTTCAAATTGGTATTAGATGTTCCTCTGCAAGCTTTAGTTGCTAGAAACAGATTAGTTGTTACTGACTTAACACAACCAAATTTAAAAGGGGGGTGTTGTTGTTGTTGAAGAAGAAACATGCCACAGAAAAGCATACCTTCTAGTGTCTGGGTGCTTAGAATCATTCAACAGTAGAGTTGGAAGGGGCCGGAAGGCCATCAGGTCCAACCCCCTGCTCAGTGCAGAACTCTGAGTTAAACTAACCCTCTTAGGATGGCTTAAGGCTGCAATATGACACTTAGCCAAAACAAACAAACACCTAAATATGCATGTGATTGTGTCTTAGGTAAATCAAGAACTGTCAGGAGCCATATTCATGCCCCTCTCCTGTCTAGAAGCAAGTCTCACTGAAGTCAATGTGAGATTGGAGACTGGTATCTTTATTAGCCAGATGCATGGCTAGAACAATGACTGGGTTCTACCTAGGATGTAGCCATCTGAAAACATTGTATTCAGTGTTAGGCCACTTAGAGAAGCCTTATTGAAATGAATGAGACTTAAATTAGTCATATTTATTTCAAGTCATATTTATTTATTTTAGTGGTAATACTCTGCATAGGAGTAACATTGGATACAACCCTAAGAATGAGAATTCAGTAATCTTATTTGAAAATACAACAATTTTGTGGATGGTGGTGCATTCCCAGTAGCATTATACTGCAGAGAACTTGTTGTCTACTGTATTAGTAAATGCAGTGTAAATTATTTCAATGACCTTTGGTTTAATGATGTGGTTTCACAGCAGAATTACATATCTGTAGGTGCACTTCCCAACAACAGAGTATTTTCAGCCTTGGAGGCACTGTCCTGCCCTAAGCCCTGACAGCACAGCAGAAGGAACTGAGGTTAGGAAGTCAAAAATGTTCCAGACCTGAGTAGCCAATTAGTTCGGCAGAATCAATAAGAACATGATGAGAGCAGTGGGTATCATTTTACGATTTTTAAAATTCTTTCAGAGACAGCTGAACTGGCTTAACTTCAGATTGATGAGGGGCAGGGAGTAAGCAGGTTTTGTAGCTTCACTTGGTTGTTGACAACACCCATTGCTGCCCTCAGCTGCTCAAAATCTTGTCTGAACATTTTGTGGTAGTGAAAGGGATCAACGTGGGTCAGTTATATGCTGGAATAAAACCATTGCAGTTTATCTCAGCCTTTCTGGAAGCTTATAGTAATCTTACATCTAGTCATTTAAGTCATTGCTATCTGGGGCACACATTGATAGGTTTGCACAAACTGGCTATTAAAATATTGCACCTTTATCAGTAGTATACCTGTAAGTGGACTCCGGGGAATGGTGGAGGACAGGAAGGCCTGGAGGAATGTTGTCCATGGGGTTGCGGGTTGCGATGGGTCGGACACGACTTCGCAACTAACAACAACAACAACACCTATAAAAGCTATATTACCCTAATGAAATGAAAGGCATAGTTATCCTTCCATATACAAGCAGCTTTGTGTTTCCGGCAAACAGGTAGTATTTTGCCTCATTCATCACCTATCTCAGCCTCCAGTATTTTTGCAGAATTCTATACTGTGAACCAATGTGATGACAAGGTTGGATTCCTGGATTTAAGTCTTTGGGACAGACAGAAATGACTGCTATCAAAAACTGTAATGATTGAGTCATCAAATGTGAGAGAAGCCAAAAGCTACAACAAGTAGAGCACAAGAAGTCTACTCACTTTTGACAGAAAGGCTAAGATTTTGATTTAAAGCCCTTTTTAAAAACAAAATACAAAAAAACCCCTTGTTATACCATTCTTTGCCAAAGTCAATAACAAGTTCAGCGCTCAGTTTTCCCAAATGGTTTACTAAGACATTTAAATAGTTTGACAAAAATTATTTAATTTACTTGAAAATGTTCTAACAAAATCTGACTTCATTACCAAATATATTTACCCTGGCTATATATGAGGTGTATAATATTTTTTTCTCCTCAGTAAAAAAGTGTGTGAAATGTACAGAATGCTGGATCAAGCAATGTTATACCAATTAGTATTAATATTAATTAGACAAGTAGTTTTGGTTTAGAAATATTTTGACATAAATAAAGTGGAGCTTGTGATCTGGGGGGTGCAGTTCAGTTTTTCAGTTTCAGGTAGTGAAGTGTTATTTTAGCATTCCTTACAACACTCACCATAAATAGCGACAAGCTCTGTTTAATTTCACCAGTTGTGAAGATAGTAAAATTTGATTTGCAGCAGTCTAAAGATGGAAAAACAACACTGTGTCTTAAGACTTGTCTGCACTAGGAAAAAATAATCACCGCTATATGTGTGGGGTGTGTATATTAGCACATATAATTTGTAAGACATGCACTTCAAAGTTTCTACACTGTTGGGCTGAACTTGGTTCATTTTGACTAGGTGAACAGAACTGTTTTTTATAGAACTGTTCATTCTTCATAGAATAATAGAGCTGGAAAGAGATTAGAAAGCCACCTTTAAGTGAGAAACTCTATCTGCCCAACCCTTACTCAGTATATCATCTGGGATACCCAAGTCTGGAGTAGCACATCACATTTAAGATGTGTCTTAAAAAGCTATCCACAAAGCAAATATCATTAGATGGCTCAAGCAAAGGAGACATATACACTTGTTTTATCTTGGTTATAATAAGGTGTTTACCTTATTATAACCAAGATAGGTTACATTTGGAATTTTGAAATCTTGCATGTGTTCCAGCTTGCTACTGAAAATTCGGAGGCATATAATGCACAATATTAACCTGGTTTTTCTTGTTTTTAAAAAAAGCATTTTGCTTTTAAAAAAAGAAAGGACCTTCGAGTTTTTTTCCCTTTAAAAAAAGCTTATGTAAAAGTTTTGTAACAAATTTTGTAAGCAATGGTTTTATGAGTATGCAGTAGTGGTTTTCCAAAAAGCACAAATGTATACCAGTTTAAAATCTGCAACATTGCTTTAGAATTGTCTTAAATATTAAATATATTTGGTCCATACTGACTGCGGCATTTCAATGTGTTCGCCATTCCGATTTCAAAGCAAATCAAATAACAGAAAATCAGGGAGCAATTCTATGTAAAATGGAATTGTATGCATAAGTTCAAGGTAGATGTGAGATAGCGGACAAAATGAAAGGTTGACAACTCAACCCTGTTGAATTGAAGTCTGTCAGTTTCAACAGAACTAGTATTTGACCTCATTCTTGGAGAGCCAAGTCTTACATGAGCAAGGAAAATTAGTAAGACCCATGTGCACAGTACTTCCTAGTTTAGTGGCACAGCTGTAGGGATGGATTTAAAGTAAGGAACTTTAGGAAGGATTAGCTGGGTTCCATAACTGGACATGGAATTGAACAGTTAGGAAATAGGTGTTATTTATGAGAGGACTATCTTCTAGATAGTAGAATGGGCACTTGTAAAATATAAAAAGCTGACAAGTACAGAATCCTGCTGGCTAAATGCAAGGCATATGGTGATGTTTTTAGTTTAAATTATTTTGTGCATCCTGAGTGTCAGTCTTTCAATGTTTGGCCTGCTTTTTAAAAGATGGAATCACCATACCTTTTATTATCTTTGTGGTTACTATATTTATACCTTACCTTTTTATCTCCAAGGAACCCAAGGGAGCTTACATGATGTGCCTCTTCTCCATTTTATTTTCACCCTAACCCTGCAGTGTTGGGCTACAAGTCAGTTACTGGCCCAAAGTCACACAGCGAGGTTCATGGCTGGGTGGGCACAAGAATCCAGATCTCTTTCAAGTCCCATCCAGCAGTATAATCACCATTCCACTCCGGCTGTCATTTTGGTTTTCATAACTACTTTCTGTTATCTAGATAGGGCCTCTGTGCGACACATTTGTTTCATTGCAAATTCAGATAGCCTGCATGTCTGTGATGAACTACTTGGGAATCACATCTTGTTGTTTATTGTTCTGGGAGAAGGAAACAAAAGTAGGTCACTCTGACCTTGTTTGGAAGTCAGCTAGACCTTGACCTTCTTTAGGAGTCAGTCAGCTATTGATACATGCTGTTGGGTTTGCGTTTAGTCACACAACAGAGCCTAAGTTCCTTTACTGTCTGAGTGTGCAAGAATCCAATAGCGTGTTTGCTTATAGTTTACAATAAACTTCAATAACAAAACAGAAGAGTGAGTGCTCTGGAAGACTCAAGTACAGCGGCTGATTTAATGTCGTACTGTTGAAGGAATCAGACATATTCTCTAAAATGAGGCAAAAGCACCTGGGACTGATTAGTAGCAAAGTTCACCAAACTTCAGATAGAGGTTTTTCCCCTTAAAAAGTGAATGGTATAACTGTTTCCTGAGCTTGCGTTGACAGAAATTCCCTTAAGGCAGGACCCAGAAAAGAAACACGTGGCAAGAAACTGGGAATCATCCAGAAACCAGATTAGTAGAGCTTTGCACATCATTTTTAATATTATGGAAAGAGATGAAAATCAGTGTTTAACCTTTTCATTTTCCTGACTTTTCCTCCCTTTTCACTTCACTTTGATTGCTTGATCCTGTAGCAGATTTGGAGTTTTTCATAATTTGAGTGATTATACTGTGGCTTTTATAAATGAAACATTTTTAAAAATGTCTCCATAGTTTACTATTAGTGAGGAGGTCCTCTCATGGGAAGGGGCTTTCTGTCTGTCTTACCCCTTGCAGTCACCTGTGCCTTAGGGGCAGAGTTAGAGGGCATACAAGGAGCAAGGGAATTTTCCTCCTCCTCCTCCTCCTCCTCCTCTTGCTTAGACAATCTGATCAGTGTAACTTCTTAATTAAATGTCACCCATTTGGGTTGTTTTCATTTAAAGCTGGTTTACAAAATTGTACTGTAAGTTTCTTAATGAGATTTCTGAAGCAGCAACTTGGCACTGACTACATTTAGTCAAGCAGTTCTGTTGTGGTTTACCCACACCAGATTGAACACTAACATGACAACAATACACTACACCCCACAGCTTTTCCAACGCATTTTGAACTCTAGACGAATGTCATTTTGGAGTTTCCCAAGTCAAAGAAAAAAACTTGATTACCTCCTATCTTGAAATTAAATGTATTTCTTTGAACATTGTGTTTGCAAAATGCATCCAATTAATAGCTATATTAAGATGAATAATCATATAAAACAGACTTTAAAGTTTCCCTTTACTGATGCTATTTGGCTATTCATCAAAAGTATATATTTGTGTTGAATGTCAGAATTCTGAAATTTCGCTTTGACAACCTAAAATCTTAAGTATTACTGCTAACTGTAAACATTCTCTATGTTTTCACACATTAATACAGCCTCTTTTTGCCCACCCTGTATCTGATAGAGTAGGCTGTCATTTACTCCAGCTTGTATATTAATGTATACGTTAGGGACATTTTAGTTGACGATATAATTTGACTGCCTTCTTACTCATTTAGTCATGTCTGTGAGTAGTTTACTTAACTCAAAAGTGGAAATTCTCTTTCTTCCTGGAGGGCTGAAATCAATTTTAGATAAGATCTGGGTGGGTGGGGATTACAGTGGTGGATGGGTGAAAGGTAAAGGACTAGAACCCAAGATAAATGTGGTGCAGCCAAAACTGCCAACAAAGGATGCCTACACATTGCAGCTTTGTGCCTTTACTCTCAGTAACTGAACCTTAGGAGTGGCATTTCAGAAGGGGAAAACCTGCACAAAGGTTGGGAAATCATCGCACAACTGGTAGCTGGTGGAAAATGGGGGATGGCAGATTGGGACCTAGAGCTGGACAATCCCCTTCCCCGGCTGCAGTATGTGATATGCAGTACTTCTGTTCCTATTTGTAAGATTAAAAGTGGGATACTGTATGCTTCCCCTTTTGCCGTGGTCCACAGTTTATACTGTCATATTTGACCACTCATATGTGAGGTGAATCTACTACTTTATACTGTAATACGCAGTATGAACCAGCCTTTTTCAGTATGATTGGCTTTCTTTGTGTTAGCATTGAGTCATCACTCTTGAAGCCAGCATCTATTTTATGCTATTTGACAGCACTTGATAAATGGTTTGAAGTACAGGCAAGCACCACATCACAAAATGTGTAGGAATTTATCTGAGATAAAGTACAGATGGACCTAACTCTGGATCTGATCTTCCTCCCGCTGAGATGGATGGAAGGAATATTGGGATCCATTGTCTAACTGAGGATTCTGACCGTCAAAGCTTTCCTTCCAAAACAACAACAAAGTGAGACACTGTTCATATTGGAAACATCCATGTCTCTGTTGTGGTTGTCTTTTACCCCCAAGAATAAGTAAAAGAAAAGTGGGTTGTTCTGCCTTTCAGTTTTATATTCCCTTCAAGTAGTTACCAATTACGCATGCTGTGCTGTGGTGTCAGGAATACATTAAAGAAGACTCACGGGGTTGTGGAGCGTGAAAAACAGACTTCAAAATAGCAAAAAACCAAAATGCAATAAATAAAGCAATTCAAACTACAATCTACAAAATATTCTAAAGTTATCAGGAGGGTTTCTAGAGAGATGGGCTCAAGCAAAATATAATACAGCCCAGTGGCTCCAGAGTGGCACTTTGCAGAGTTCTACCCATGCAGACGTAGGGCCTTTGTGATTCCTCATTTTTAAAAAGATGATAATGCCTAAAAACTCCTTTAACCATAGATCAGACCAGTCAGCAAGAGAAAAAAAATTGTATGCCTTCTTTAAAAAAATGGATTGTAACCATTGTTCCCTAGGGAAAGTGTTTCACAAACAACATTTCTGGTTCAACAGATAACATAATCAAGAGAAACAATTTACAGTTTATTTTATATATAAAGCTGAATTACTATTTTGACATAGTGTGAAATGAGTTTTTTCTGTTATAGCAAATGTTTATTTACAACCCTAACCACTGAAATGGAGAAAGGAATGGGAAATGATAATGGCAGAAGACAGATCATGTTTCTAATTTCCATTCCTTTCACTGGTATTGCCAGTTCTTGGTGAATTATGCTCTGTGGCGAGGTTCCAAATAATAGCACAGCTAGTCTCGTGTGCCCATGCAGATGTTAAGCTTGCATTTCCTGAGAGCCTTTCTCTTGCGGTAAACTGCTGTCAAAACTGAGGGAATGAGTAGACGTGATAAGGCAAGGAAATCTCTGGTCAAAGGCAAGGGGTGGGGGAGTCACAATTGTACTAAATAGGCAAGTTATTGGCTGAGAAACATAGCCACAAACATGCTCTTACCTGTGATATGAATTCACCCCTTATAAAAGCAGTCCCCAGCAGCAGAGACTGAGATCCTCCAGTGAATCGTGATGTGGTTTGTGAATAGTTCAAATATAATTTTGTAAGTGCTTCTTCCTGTAGTGGTAGAGGAGGCTGGTAGCCTCCAGTGCTTTGAAATACAAGCAGCTGTTCAACCAGTTGCTTTGAATGCAGAAATTCTGACAACAGAAAAACAAATAGCCAAGGCATTTCTGCCCCATAATATGTTCAGTGCAGCCTGAAAGTAAAAGTACTTGTATTCCATGGAAAATATATCCCACAAAAGCCCTTACTATTCATATCTCTTTGCTAGGCAGCTTAATTCAGGTAGCTTGACTTCATGTTTAAATGTATAATTCTGCTTAACTATTTTGTTGATATCAGGCTTTGTAAAAGGATTTGTACTTTGAAACTATAGTACTTACAGAACGTACGTAAAATTCACTCTGAAACAAACAAAAACCAATAGCTATTCTCGTTGGTGTGTTTTATTCATTCATAATGAAGTGGAATCACACTGATCATTTTTCACTTTTTTCTTACTCTAGTGTTGTTCCAAATATTCATTCTTCTCTTGTCAGTCCATTGAAAACGGCAGTTGCTCCCTCCCTACTTCAGAAACACAGCTCACCGTCGTCACATAGCCAGTCTCCAAATGGACAGCACTTCTCAGCAAATAAACCATACACGCAGTTTCAAAATCCATCTACACAGCATGGACCACAAGGTAACTCTATACTGCATGTTTATGTATCTATATAATGGTGCACCATGCATACAGAAATGCAAACACATAAGCAGATCCATGGTGAGGGCCAAGAAAGTGGAGTATAACTTGCTATGTGTCCTTCAGAGATTATGCCATGCATTTCCTGCTCTGCCAGACAGTAATATGTGTTGTGATGTTAGGACACAGGGAAAGTTCCACTACCCATTATGGACAAGAAGGGAAAGGAATAAGAGGCTGTTATTTTTGGCAGCAGCTTCATGCAGTGTTTAGTTATATCTAGGGAGTCTGCTGATACTTTCATTTAAGTTGAAATGAGACCTGTTCTCCCCTGAAGAGGAAGGCAGGACACGCTCCAACAGAGCAAAGCTCAGGGAGCCAAGGTTCTATCTGGATGCCAGGAAGCACTTCCTGACAGTCAGGACCCCGAGGGTGTGGAATGGGCTTCCACGAGAGGTCATTGAGGCCCCATCAGTGCGAGTGTTCAAGGAAAGGCTGGACATCCACATGGTGGGCATGTCGTGAGCGGAGCCGGCTGGTGCTGGAGGTCAGACTAGATGGCCCGGGAGACCCCTTCTGACTCGCTCTGTTTCTATGTTCTATGTTTCTAAGTTCTGCACTAAGATCATTTGTTTGTTTGCAGTGCTTATTTGCACTAAGGTGGTAATATAGCAAATGTACCACATTTCTCTTGTATCAGAAATACTTCATCTTTGACACTATGAAAAATGAATGGTATAAAAAGTGACAAACGCAGTAGCTTTCAGTTGGCAGTAAATGGGTTACCATGTTATGACTGGTAGAAGTAACCACTTTTGACTAGATACTACAAAAGTAAATGAAATGCACAAAGTAGATTTTGACACATCCAAATGCAGTAGCAGCAGAAATGCAGATATGGACATGTGTATGGTGCATTATGTTTAGGGGTGTCAAATTTCCATGAATTTCAATGTAAGAGAGAGCTCTTATTTTTTGAAGACCTATTCAGTGTAAAATATTTGATGTCAAGAAGGCTGTTACCTAGTGTTGATGCCACAGCCTGCAGTTGTGAGGCTTTGGGAAAGGGTGTGGGTAGTTCCTGAGCTAGCACAAAAAGGCAATACTGAGGGGAAATCCCCAATTCGAATGAGTCAGTTTCTATTTATATTTCAGTTGTAAGCACATTCCCTAGGCTGCAGGCAGGGCTGCCAACAGTCCCGTAGATACCTAAATGTAGGCCATCTGAGCTCAGACTTCATTGGCTGGGAAACCTTTCAGAGCGTTGGCTTTTTGATGTGTTTGCATCAGTGCTGCCTAGGCAAAGCTGTCACAGAGCCAAATAGCCAAACCCTGTACTTGCTAAGGGACTACGTGGCCCCTCAGAAAACTTGCTAATTTTCCCAGGTGTTCCAAAAGTAAATGGAAAACAGAGATGTCTGTCATATGTGAGAACAAAACTGAAACCATTTGGGTCATTTTGGCATAGGCTGAGTTATTTTGTTAATAAACATGTCAGTTCTTTCTACAAGGCAAATGGCTAAATTGATAAGCTGTGAGTTCTGGTAATCTGATGCTTCTGTATAGTTGAAGGAAGAGAGTGAGTTTCCACAACCTGTCCAACAGATAAGAAACTACATTACAGCAGGTCCCTGTATTCTCTGGCTCAGTTACGTTTTCATTTAGCAGCAATTGACCTTAGTCAGAAAGAGAAGTCGTAAAGTACTGTAAAGTGCCGAAGAGACGTCGTTAACTGCTTTAAGTGAAAATTTTCAATTTAATAGGGAAAGATAAACAACATAGGCTAAGGTTGGTAGAATGTATGGTAAAAACAAATCTGTGAAATTGTGAAAAAAAGAACATGGTAACCCATGCTGCATTGTGTTCATAGTTAACCACTTGCTAGAAGTAGTTGTTGTTGTTAGTTGCAAAGTCGCATCCAACCCATCGTGATGGATGGTTGTAATTATTTGGTTTATATGTGTTCTTATGGGAGAATCCCATTTTTGTCCTGTCAAAATGGTAACAGAAAATTTCCATAAGCAGTATAAGACCTTTTGGAACAAACTGATTTTCTTTGGCTAAAGTAGAATAAAGTTAGATGAGGAGTTTTGTTTTAAATATGAAGGCTTACCATCCTTTGCAGCTGTTCTGACCCTGCATTATACTTTCCCCAATTGAACTGCCTTTCCCACTGGAGGGGCAAAAGTACCATTTGATTACTTTGCATTTACTTTGTCATAAAGCCACCTGAGGAAGTTTCCCGTCTTTGTTTTCTTAATTTGAAGGCTCCTGCTGTACACTGATCAAGTCTGCCTTATAGCTCACCTATTGTGGAAGCCTAAGACAGACAGCAGTACACTTACAGCCACTAAAATCTTGCTTAAATAATCCAATATTACCATGAGCAAAGTAGGAACATAAAACAGAGCTTGTTGCAACACATAGTCTCCATGCAAAAGCTAATGAACAGAATCCAAACAGATCGTTCAATTCATAAAGATGAACTCTGTTGGAGCATTATGGGAAATATACGATGAACAATAATGATGTACAACCATATTACATTGATAAGCTACGTAACTGTGAAACCACAAGGGAAAGTTTAGATGCTCGTGAGTACAACAGAAACAAATACATAGAACTAATGTTGAACTGTTTAAATGAACCGAGTTTATTCTGAAAGAAAACCATATATTCTACTGGAGGGAAGTGTTGATTTCTAATTGTTCTATATATATTAAAGGGCAATTGTTTTCAAGATCAGCCAGCACGAAAATATGAATTTCATGCTGGGAAGATGTTGTCATCCGTTTACACACTTATTTAGGTACAAGCAGGGCTTTTTTTTGTCATAGAACGTGCCGGAACAACGTCACGGCACCTTTTTTTCAATGGATTTTACGAAGTGTTTTTGGCGTAGATCAACAGCAAACATCATTAACATAGTGCCTGCAGGCTGCTATTGTGTCTGCTATCTGATAGTGAGAGATAGCTGCTCGGGATGACTTGGGATTGGGGTGTGTGCTTACTGCCAGTGGCGAGGTGAGTTCCAGCACTTTTCTTTTTAAACAAAAAAAGCACTGGATGTAAGTCTCATTGAATTCAGTGCAACTTACCTCTAAGTATATATGTATAGGATTTGATTAATATATCTTTAAGTGCCTGATACTGCCCAATCTTGGAAGCTAAGCAGGGTCAAGCCTGGTTGGAATCTAGATGAGTGACTTAAATTGTTGTGAACTGCCCAGAGAGTTTGCCTACAGGTGGTATAGAAAGTGTAAGGTGATTATGATGATGATGATAAAAAATTGCCCAAGGAGTCCTGTGTGGGACTATTGGGTGTGGTATAAACATTTAAGAATAAATAAATCAAGTTAAAATAATATCTGCACATAAAACTGTTTTTAGATCAGTGTTTATCAAGGGAGTAGCATGCACTCAGTTTATTAATAAAACTGTAACTATGAAAATATAAATAATAATTATAATTATATTCCAAATGAAAAATCAGTCATTGTAAAGGTAAAAGGTATATTTATACTTCTACCTGGTCTGGGTACTATAAATTCTCAAGAAAATTTTCTTTGGACAAGTTGTGGATGAGAACAAGTTGAGTTGCATAGACAATGGATAAAAAGAAAAACCCAGCAGAATTTTGACTTCAGCTAAAATAAGATCAGATGGAAATTGTTATACATTGAAGGAATTTGGCAACCAAATGAAATAGCACAGCTATTTATATCTTGTATGATGTCTTTTCACAGAGATTTTGTGTAATTTGACGATTTTGACTTATTTGTGCTCATACATTTAAGTAGCATGGCATGCATGAATTGGCGTTTAATAGACATATTCCAATAATTTCCTCATTACATCATTCGTTTAAAAAAGTGCTTTAGATTTTTAAGTTGTGCCTTGAAGGAAATAGAGACAACTAACATACTTTGTGATGTGGTTAACTGCAGCTTTTCCGTGTCACATTCAAAGCAAAATTGTAACTGAATGTTATGTTTGGAACATAGTCGATTCCTTTATTAACTGTTATACTTCTACATTTTATTCCACATAAAACATTTAACAGTGATCATTTAAGCCGACAGGTTGTTTGGGAAATTCTTCATTGGAAATTAGCTGCCACAGATTTGATTTAAATCTGACAAACTGAAGGAATGCCTGAAATCTGGGGTGGGGTGGGGTGGGGTGGGGTGGGGGAGTTGTCGGTTCAGCTGCAACTGCCAGAATTTCTTTACAGAAATAGAAATGTTTCTTTATGAAAGTCTTTTTTTTTTAAAGGAGAAAGAGGCAGCAGGGGAGGGAGACAAATTTTACACAGTTCCACAGAATGGTTCAGATTTTAACCCCATTGGAGTTGAAAACCTTTTAAAAAGTTCCATGTTTAGATTTTTGTACTAAACCACATATGGTTGTTAATTGCACGATCGTTATGGGATTTGAACCTCATTTTAAGCTCCTGCTGTTACTCTCTGTTACATCTTGAAAGACACTTTGGCACATAGAACCAACAAATCTGTAATAAGTTAAGAACAAATGTTAAAAAACAAAATGAGACTGGAAACCTCCACAACAAAATGAACGTTTCTCCCTGCAAACAGTAACAGTGCAATTATGAAGTAACATGAAGAATGGCCAGGAGTCATTGACCGATCGTCCAGAGAAATATCAGTAGAATAACAACATGCAAAGTAGGGCACTAGCAGAAGTGACAATGTGGCGTTTCTGCTCCAGCACACAGTATAATCCAAGTATGTGACTTTGTCTGCAACTGGGTGGAATTATAACATTTATAGTATACTAGCTTTACCTGGCAAGGGAATAGTAGTTGAAATAGCATTGTTTCCAATAAAATGCAACCTGTTTTTTCCAATGCAAATTGCAGGCACAGGAATTAAAGTAAGGGTTAGAGACCCCTTACTTGCTTTTGACGTGGATGATTTGTGACGGGAAAAAGTCCTGCAAAGTTTTGGGCACCAAGATTTAAGATACAGGAAAATTAGAAA